GGTAGGTGTGTGTGTGTGTGTGTAGACCCCCGAGGATTCTGGGGTAGGATGTGTGTGTGTGTGTGATGGGGAGACCCCCGAGGATTCTGGGGTAGGATGTGTGTGTGTGTGTAGACCCCCGAGGATTCTGGGGTAGGATGTGTGTGTGTGTGTGTGTAGACCCCCGAGGATTTTGGGAAAGAATGTGTGTGTAGACCCCGAGGATTCTGGGGTAGGATGGATGTGTGTGTGTGTGTGTAGACCCCCGAGGATTCTGGGGTAGGATGTGTGTGTGTGTGTGTGTGTGTAGACCCCCGAGGATTCTGGGGTAGGATGTGTGTGTGTGTGTGTAGACCCCCGAGGATTCTGGGGTAGGATGTGTGTGTGTGTGTAGACCCCCGAGGATTCTGGGGAAGTGTGTGTGTGTGTGTAGACCCCCGAGGATTCTGGGGTAGGATGTGTGTTTGTGTGTGTAGACCCCCGAGGATTCTGGGGAAGAATGTGTGTAGACCCCCCGAGGATTCTGTGAAGAGATTTTTACTGGTTTCAGGTGTTTTTTCGCGGAATTAAATTCTATTCCTGACACGTTGTCCAGTATCAGCCGCCATTGTTTCAGCAGTTGGGTTAAGGTACAGGTCATGTGATCAATCAACTTTCAATTTTGCAGCATTTTGCAGGGATGGCAGAAGTCATGTGATCTATCAGTTGCCATTGTCACAGCAGTTCAGAAGGAAGGCACAGGTCATGTGACCTATCAGCTTCTAGCAGCTGTTTCTATTGGTAAAATCCGATGCGTTTTCAGGATGGGCGCCATCTTTTCTCCAGGGATCAAATGGCAGGATCAGTAGCATTGTAATACTCTTTTTGTCCCTGAAGAAGAGGGGTTGCCCACCATGAAAAGTGTGGGGTTGTACTATCTAGCCCTGGTATGCACCCTATGGATATGATTCAGGGGTCTCTACCATATAGATGTAGGAACAGGGGATTATGAGGTGGTGCCAGACAAGGTTCCTGCAGTGCCATCATGGCTTCCTCCCCCAGAATACCTGGAGGGGAATTTGTGCACTGAATTTAGGAATAACGGATCTAACTGTGATCGATCAACTGCCATTGTTTGATCAGTTCAGAGAGAAGCCAAGAGTCATGTGATCGATCTACTGCCATTGTTTGATCAGTTCAGAGAGAAGCCAAGGGTCATGTGATCGATCAGCTGACATTGTTTGATCAGTTCAGAGGGAAGGCACAGGTCATGTGATCGATCAGCTGACATTGTTTGATCAGTTCAGTGGGAAGGCACGGGTCATGTGATCGATCAGCCGCCATTGCTTGATCAGTTCAGAGGGAAGGCACGGGTCATGTGATCGATCAGCCGCCATTGCTTGATCAGTTCAGAGGGAAGGCACAGGTCATGTGATCGATCAGCTGCCATTGTTTGATCAGTTCAGAGGGAAGGCACGGGTGATCATGTGATCGATCAGAGGGAAGGCACGGGTCATGCCGCCATTGTTTGATCAGTTCAGAGGGAAGGCATGGGTCATGTGATCGATCAGCTGCCATTGTGATCTTCTAATAGCTGTCAGTGTAAAGGAAACCCCGATCAATCTCGCATTAACCCAACACATTTCTCCTTCCAGAACTATCGGCTCCAGATCCAGGTCAAGGACTCGGCGGGGAACACCTGTAATGGGACTCTCAATGTCATAGTCCTTCCTGTCTATCAAGACCACGTCAACTTCACGTAAGAGTGTGGGCGAGGGGGGGACGGGGGTCCTAAAAAGAGGGGAACGTCTATATTAGTACTAGCACCGTCCCGGGTGGAATCCCTGTACTGTGCCTGATCCTCCTGTACTGTGCCTGATCCTCCTGTACTGTGCCTGATCCCCCTGTACTGCCTGTAATGTGCCTGATCCCCCAGTACTGTGCCTAATCCCCCTGTACTGTGCCTGATCCTCCTGTACTGTGCCTAATCCTCGTACTGTGCCTAATCCCCTTGTAATGTGCCTGATCCTCCAGTACTGTGCCTGATCCTCTGTACCTGTACTGTGCCTGATCCTCCTGTACTGTGCCTGATCCTCCATGTACTGTGCCTGATCCTCCATTACTGTACTGTGCCTGATCCTCCTGTACTGTGCCTGATCCTCCTGTACTGTGCCTGATCCCCCTGTACTGTGCCTGATCCCCCTGTACTGTGCCTGATCCCCCTGTACTGTGCCTGATCCCCCTGTACTGTGCCTGATCCCCCTGTACTGTGCCTGACCCTCCTGTAGTGTGCCTGATCCTCCAGTACTGTGCTTGATCTCCCTGTACCGTGTCTGATCCCCCTGTACCGTGTCTGATCCCCCTGTACCGTGTCTGATCCCCCTGTACCGTGCCTGATCCCCCTGTACCGTGTCTGATCCTCCAGTACTGTGCCTGACCCCCCCTGTACTGTACCCTTCTGACCCCCCTGTACTGTGCCCGTCTGACCCCCCCCGTACTGTGCCCGTCTGATCCCCCTGTACTGTGCCTGATCCCCCCTGTACTGTGCCCTCCTGACTCCCCCTGTACTGTACCTGATCCCCCTGTACTGTGCCTGATCTCCCTGTACTGTGCCTGATCTCCCTGTACTGTGCCCATCTGATCCCCCTGTACTGTGCCTGATCCCCCCTGTACTGTGCCCGTCTGATCCCCCTGTACTGTGCCTGATCCCCCTGTACTGTGCCCTCCTGATCCCCGAATTGTGCCCTCCTGACCCCCCCCCCCCCCCCCCATTCCCCATACTGAGCCCTTTGTGTTTATTAGTCTTTGATTTACGGCACATTTTCTTATTGTTTAAAATCATTTTTATTAAACTACTAATATTCATATGTTTAATTCTATCAACTATTTATGATTTAATTCTCGAGAGCGGGTGTGTAAATTGGGGTGGGCTGGTAGGGGCCCTAGTGCATTACTTTGCCCAGGGGCCCATGATGCTATTAAGACGGCCCTGACCCTATTCAGCCCCGGTGACCCTTTTTTTTGTGACCGGTGACCCTACAAAGTGCTGCGTCCCTTGTAACCCCTGAAGAACAATGTGTTATGATTGGATTATTCTCTGATTTCTCTGGATTTCATGGACAAGGCAGGGAAAGGGAAGTTACGATGTAGTTGCTTGCTGGCGTTCAGTCGCATTCAAACTGATACATTTTCTGATTTTCGCACAACTGCAGAGTTGCATTTCTGTACATGGACTGCCTTCTGATTGGTGCCTGGCTTCATCCCACACAGGTCATCCTCGTATAATGCCACCATACCAGAAAATGGCGGACCCGGCTATCTGGTGACCACATTGAAGGCGACTGGGAGTAATGTGGTGTACCAACTGATCAATCCCAGCAATATCTACTACATCGAACCAGGTATTCGACCGCCTGTGTGATCTGGAGAGCCAGTCTCAATGGTAATAGGTCAGACACAGAGCAATAGCACTGAGCCAGTGACAGCTCCCTCCAGTGGCCAATCTACAAATCTCTACATTCAATGCAATAGCCAAACCGTCTATATCTTCATGATTGTCGGTGTTACAAAATCAAATCTATGGAAACCAAATATCCCTCATATGATGACATCACTACTTCATATTAATATTCGGTCCAAAATCATAAAAACCATGGTTATGGTATAAGACACACACCCCTTAATGTAGCCACACCCACTCTGTGTGTCTTTCCTCCTCACTAGGGATGAGTGACCTGGTTAAAGTTCGGTCCACACGAGGTTTGGCGCACCCATCAGGAAATCTGCAAACCCAAACATAGCCTCAAAACCCTGCTAAAGTCTATGGGAGGTGAATCTTGGGAGGGGTTCTTTCAAGGCCAATTTGCAAGATTTTGGTGAGAAGAGGTGTAGCTAGCTGGGCACTGCCATGGCGGGGCGGGGGGGGGGGGGGGTTCGGGGCATGTATCAATGCAAAAAAATGTTCTAAAAAGGAACATTCGACATGGAAAGGGTCATTTAACCCCTCGCCCTCCTGAGGATTTCCCCCATTCCTTCCTGACCAGGCCATTTTTTGCGTTGTGGCGCTGCGTTACTTTAACTGACAATTTTGCAGTCATGCAACGCTGCACCCATGTTAAAATGACTTTTTTTATATTTTTTGTATGTTAAAAAAAATTGGAAGAATATATTTAAAAACGATATATTTTGTAATATATAAAAAACCATTTCAACATGTAGTGTGTTTGTATGTACATGTATATGTGTGTATATATATATATATATATATATATATATATATATATATATATACTGCATGCTGAAATGTTGTTTTTATATATCACAAAATATTTTTTAAAAATATAAATTTTTAAAAAATATATTCTACATATATATGTATGTGTGTGTGTGTGTATATATATATATATATATATATATATATATATATATATATATATATATATTGAATACGGCCAATATTGTAATATTTAACCAATTCAATATCGGGCACTTTTACCCCCTTCCTGCCCAGGCCAATTTTCAGGTTTCAGCGCTGTCACACTTTGAATGACAATTGCGCGGTCATACAACATTGTACCCAAACTAAAATTTTATCATTTTCTTCACACAACTAGAGCTTTCTTTTGGTGGTATTTAATCACCGCTGGGTTTTTTATTTTTTGCTAAATTAACAAAAAAAGACCAAAAATTTTGAAAAAAAAAAAAAAAAAAGTTTCTTTGTTTCTGTTATAAAAGTTTGCAAATAAATAATTGTTCTTCATAAATGTAGGCCAGATGTATTCTGCTACATGTCTTTGGTGAAAATATTCCAAATTAGGATGTAATATTTAGTTTGTAGGAAAGTTATAGAGTTCACAAACTATGGGATAGATCTGAATATTGATCAATCCTGAAGTACTGACAGCCAATCTAATTTCTTGAGGTCCAAGAATGTCAGAACAGTACAGATATCCCCCAAATGTCAGAACAGTACAGATATCCCCCCAAACGTCAGAACAGTACAGATATCCCCAAATGTCAGGACAGTACAGATATCCCCCCAAATGTCAGAACAGTACAGATATCCCCCAAATGTCAGAACAGTACAGATATCCCCCAAATGTCAGAACAGTACAGATATCCCCCAAATGTCAGGACAGTACAGATATCCCCCCCAAATGTCAGAACAGTACAGATATCCCCCCAAATGTCAGAACAGTACTGATATCCCCCAAATGTCAGAACAGTACAGATATCCCCCAAATGTCAGGACGGTACAGATATCCCCTAAACGTCAGAACAGTACAGATATCCCCCAAATGTCAGGACAGTACAGATATCCCCCAAATGTCAGGACAGTACAGATATCCCCCCAAATGTCAGAACAGTAAGATATCCCCCAAATGTCAGGACGGTACAGATATCCCCCAAATGTCAGGACGGTACAGATATCCCCCAAATGTCAGGACGGTACAGATATCCCCCAAATGTCAGAACGGTACAGATATCCCCCCAAATGTCAGGACGGTACAGATATCCCCCCAAATGTCAGGACGGTACAGATATCCCCCCAAATGTCAGGACGGTACAGATATCCCCCCAATGTCAGAACGGTACAGATATCCCCCCCAAATGTCAGGACGGTACAGATATCCCCCCAAATGTCAGGACGGTACAGATATCCCCCCAAATGTCAGGACGGTACAGATATCCCCCCAAATGTCAGGACAGTACAGATATCCCCCAAACGACCCCTTTTTGCAAAGTAGACAGTCCGATGTATTTCATAAGAGGCATGGAGAGTTTTTTGAAGTTGTATTTTTTTTGTCATAATTTTTCGGAAAATTAAAAAATTTAAAAGTTTCACTATTTTTTTTTTTTTACATATTGCCACCAGTGCAGTACAGCGTCATCATATAACTGGCATGGCGGTGATCAGGGACACTGACTGGTGACAGTATGAAAAAAAATAATTATATATTTTTTTTATTTTTTTTTTTTTTTTTTAAGATTTTTTTTTCATATTTCACTATGACCAAAGTAGTACAATGTTACCCTAGTAACATTGTACTACTTTGGGGGAAGTGATCAGTATTTTTTTTTTTTTTTTTACACAATTTGCTTATAGCAAAGAATTACTTTGCTATAAGCAAGCATTTACCTGAATGACATCGATTCATTCAGGTTTTTTTTTTTTTTTTTTTTTGTGTGCTTAGCTGTGATTTGGCCACAGCTAATCACATGACATGTGCATGTGACCTGTTGTGACCATTCACAGCTAGGCACTAGTATACAATGGATGGCATGAATGAAGCCATCCATTTTATGCAACTGTCCTGTGACCTGCTGTGATTGGGTCACAGCAGGTCAAATGGTACCGGTAACGGGGCCGATACTCAGATCTGTCATCGGCCGTGTCCAAGGTACACGGCCGGTGACAGATCGCGCTTGTGCGGGAGTGCGCCATATGGCGTCCACCCGGAACGCTGATGACATTTGTCGCCCGCCATTCGGCCATAGGGCGGGCGGCAAATGGTTAAAATATATGTCAATATATTTGGGAAGAATATTTTAAAATATATTTCAAATATATTTTTCTTCCATGTGGGACATTGCGTTTATGTGCCCTAAAATTAACTTTCATGTATTTTTTTTACAGAAATTTTGTGCTTGAAACTGTTGCACAAATATCGTGTGACATAAAAAAATTAGAACTACCACCATTTTATTTTCTACAAGCATATTTGGGGGTCTTTAGGCCTAAAATAATTTTTTAAAACGTGTGTCCAAAAAACAAAACAAAGACTATTCTGCCCAAGATTCCAAATCACAAAGGGTGAATGGGGCCTTAATCTTGATGACTGGTTGCCACAGTGCCCAACCATGCTGCTCTACTGCTGCATTACGATGCTGCTATTGCAAATGACAGGTCCCAAGCCGGGCTAATGTTTGTAAACAAACCAGCTGGGGATCGTAGGTGACATAATGACCTAGGGTCCCATGCCCGTATTTTGGTCAATGATGTCACTTGTGATCCCCATGGGGTTTGTTTACAAACCAAGTTGGGGGGCTCCGGGATGATAACAGGTGACATAAGTGACACCTATCAGGGTCAAGTTGGGGCCCATCCGGGATGACTATGACCGTATTTGGTCAATGATGTCACCTGTGATCCCCATGGGGTTTGTTTACATTGAGAAGTTGGGGGCCCCGGGATGACTAACCAGGGATCATGACCGTATTTGGTCAGTGATGTCACCTGTGATCCCCATGGGGGGTTTGTTTACATCGAGAAGTTTGGGGGCCCATCCGGGATGACTAACAGGATCCTGACCGTATTTGGTCAGTGATTTCACCTGTGATCCCCATGGGGTTTGTTTACATCGAGAAGTTGGGGGCCCATCCGGGATGACTAACAGGATCATGACCGTATTTGGTCAATGATGTCACCTGTGATCCCCATGGGGTGTTTACATCGAGAAGTTGGGGGCCCATCCGGGATGACTAACAGGATCATGACCGTATTTGGTCAATGATGTCACCTGTGATCCCCATGGGGTTTGTTTACATCGAGAAGTTGGGGGGCCCATCCGGGATGACTAACAGGATCATGACCGTATTTGGTCAGTGATGTCACCTGTGATCCCCATGGGGTTTGTTTACATTGAGAAGTTGGGGGCCCATCCGGGATGACTAACAGGATCATGACCGTATTTGGTCAGGGTTTGTTTCAGCGACATGACCGGATCATGACCGTATTTGGTTGGTTTACATCGAGAAGTTGGGGGCCCATCCGGGATGACTAACAGGATCATGACCGTATTTGGTCAATGATGTCACCTGTGATCCCCATGGGGTTTGTTTACATCGAGAAGTTGGGGGCCCATCCGGGATGACTAACAGGATCATGACCGTATTTGGTCAATGATGTCACCTGTGATCCCCATGGGGTTTGTTTACATCGAGAAGTTGGGGGCCCATCCGGGATGACTAACAGGGTCATGACCGTATTTGGTCAATGATGTCACCTGTGATCCCTATGGGGTTTGTTTACATCGAGAAGTTGGGGGCCCATCCGGGATGACTAACAGGATCATGACCGTATTTGGTCAATGATGTCACCTGTGATCCCCATGGGGTTTGTTTACATTGAGAAGTTGGGGGCTCATCCGGGATGACTAACAGGATCATGACCGTATTTGGTCAATGATGTCACCTGTGATCCCCATGGGGTTTGTTTACATCGAGAAGTTGGGGGCCCATCCGGGATGACTAACAGGATCATGACCGTATTTGGTCAATGATGTCACCTGTGATCCCCATGGGGTTTGTTTACATCGAGAAGTTGGGGGCCCATCCGGGATGACTAACAGGGTCATGACCGTATTTGGTCAATGATGTCACCTGTGATCCCTATGGGGTTTGTTTACATCGAGAAGTTGGGGGCCCATCCGGGATGACTAACAGGGTCATGACCGTATTTGGTCAATGATGTCACCTGTGATCCCCATGGGGTTTGTTTACATTGAGAAGTTGGGGGCTCATCCGGGATGACTTCACCTGAAGCTCCTCCAACTCACCCCTCTAGTCCTCCTTCTGCTGATGACTATTGTAGACTGAGTGTCCAGGTACCAGATCCTGACCTATAAATGACACTGATTATATTAGTGGTGACACCTTCTACACACTCTCACCCCTGGTCCCTGGAAGTCCAGGAGTTGGGTGACTCTCGGTAATGAATCTGTATGTGACCATACATTGCCTATTGTCCTTCCTTTAGCTTCTGGGACTATCAGAACAACATTTAACCTGGACCTGGACACCAACCCATCACTGGTCACCACCATCCTGCAGGTCCGAGCCTACGACCGCTACCAGCGCTCCGACAGCGCCACCACCACCGTCACCATTACTGTCACTGACGTCAATGACATCGCTCCGCAGTGCAGCCCCGCCATCGTGGTGTAAGTATGATCACATGACACAACACCATGTACCACATACTGTGTTATATCAGGACAGGAGAAGTGGGACTGTGCAGAGTCCATACATACAGAACAAGGACAGATACCGAGAATGACACCCGACATCCAGGACAGGAGAAGTGGGACTGTGCAGAGTCCATACATACAGAACAAGGGACAGATAAGGACACCCGATACCGAGAATGACACCCGGCATCCAGGACAGGAGAAGTGGGACTGTGCAGAGTCCATATATACAGAATAAGGACAGATACCGAGAATGACACCCGGCATCCGGGACAGGAGAAGTGGGACTGTGCAGAGTCCATACATACAGAATAAGAGACAGATACCAAGAATGACACCCGGCATCCAGGACAGGAGAAGTGGGACTGTGCAGAGTCCATACATACAGAATAAGGACAGATACCGAGAATGACGCCCGGGACATCCAGGACAGGACAGAAGAAGTGGGACTGTGCAGAGTCCATACATACAGAATAAGGACAGATACCGATACTGAGAATGACACCGGCATCCAGGACAGGAGAAGTGGGACTGTGCAGAGTCCATACATACAGAATAAGGACAGATACCGAGAATGACACCCGGCATCCAGGACAGGAGAAGTGGGACTGTGCAGAGTCCATACATACAGAATAAGGACAGATACCGAAAATGACACCCGGCATCCCCCACATGGAAGAGAAATATATTTCCAATATATTTAGAAAAAAAATGATACATGTGACATTTACAATATATTTCCTTACATGCAGTGGCGTTCCGAGGTAGGTGCGGGGGGTGCGCGCACCTGGTGACACCGACCGCATGGGGTGACACCGGACCCGCTCCACGGAAAGGTAAGTTGTAAAGCAAGCCGATGATCCCCGCAGGATGGATGGGATCTGTGGATTGGGGAGCATACTGGATCGGAGTCTGATCCATTATGCTGAATCCACAGATCCCATCCATCCTGCGGGGATTGTCTGAGGGGGGTGTCACCAAGTGTTACGGCACCGGGTGACACCAACCCTAGGGACGCCCCTGCTTACATGTATTCTAAAAAATGTAAATTATAATATATTTTCCATAGGAATCTATATATATATTTTTTATAAATACATTCTTCAGATTTTTTTTTTACATATAAAAAAGTCATGTTAGCACATATTTGCATTCCAGAAATGTAGATTAAATGTATTTCCGAAGACATAAATGTTTGAAAATTGTATTTTTCATATATTTGTGAATCTATAAGAACACAGTATATATATATATATATCTATTGAAATATAATGAATTCCTTGAACAGGGATCAGGTTCCACAGACGTCTCCTATTGGATACAAATTTGTGGATTTCGGCTGTACGGATCCGGATTACAACAGCACCGGCCTCACCTATTCCATCATTTCCAACGCCAACTCCCTGTATTCCTTCCGCATGGTGGGAAATCAGCTGCAGGTGAGTGCGGAATGGATAAGGAAACTCCATAGGGGCCACATTGTTCCCACTAGGGGCCACGCTACACTAACTTAGAAAGGCAGATGGGAAACCTGTCAGGAGTGACAGCAGAGGAAAGCGGCCAGAAATGAGAATTAGTGCTCTGGACTGAGACAAGGAAACACACTATAGAGGGATATGCTTTGTTCATATTTTATGTCTGAGGTTTACAACCACTTGAGCCCGGGTTCACATACATGCGGTGCGGTATATCGCGTGTGATTAGCGCAGGAACCGCACTGCATTCCTGTACAAATCACATGCGATTTGTGTGCGGTGCGATCGGAGCCGTACATGTAATCGCACCCTGTTAGGGAGATCCATCCCCTGTTTTTGTCCTGTTTACGTTATCACCGAAAAGGAAAGAAAATGCCAAATTTTGGGTTGTCACCAGAACAGGATGGAGGGCACGTCTTTCAATGGGGACACTAATTCTGGTGACAGTCGCTTTAAAGGGATTTCCTCTCACTTCCTGTTTTGGCTATGAGACAGGACATACACACCCGCAGCGACGCGCATGAACGGGGTGCGATTCTGATGCGGTGCGGAATTCGCACAGAAAACGCTGAGAATTCCTCACTGCCTCAGCTGAAAGTGTAAATCGCTTGCATTCAAAATCTTGAAGTGATCCCCGCAGAGCTTCCTCCTCCTACGGGAGGCAATGGAGCAGCACAGTACCTAAATGGTTAGCACTTCCTCCTGGCAATACTCAGGTCGTCAGTTCGAATCCCAACCACGGCACCACCTGCTTGGAGTTTGCATGTTCTCCCTGTACCTGCGTGGGTTTCCTCCGGGTACTCCGGTTTCCTCCCACACTCCATGGACATACTGGTTGGTGAATTGGCTCCTGTCTACATTGTCCCTAGTAGGTGTATGTATGGATGTGAGTTAGGGACCTTAGATTGTAAGCTCCTCGGGGGCGGGGACTGATGTGAATGTACAATATATATGTAAAGTGCTGTATAAACTGACGGCGCTATAGAAGTACCTGAAATAAATAAACATATATATGAGGTGGTGTAGTTTTGAGACTAGTTTCGTAACAGGCCAACAGATGACCGCACAAGGCTGCATGCACAGTCACAGGGAACACCAACCTTCACAAATCGGGCCGATTGTTGGAGACGAGTTTGCACTTTATTTTGACTCTTTCTTCTAAATCCCAATAAAGACGAATCTTTGACATTTTCCCTCCTCTGCGCAGATCAATAAAACCCTGAATTACGACTCCTATGAAATAGCGAGTGTGAATTTCCAATATTCGGCCACAGTCGTAGTGACGGATAAAGGCAACCCGCAGTTGACCAGTAAGTTGTTTTTGTTACTTTATTTATTGGGCTGAGTTCAGTTTTTTTCGATACGGCGCTGCGTTACTTTAACTGACAATTGCGCGGTCGTGCAACGCTGCACCTAAATGAAATTTACATCCCTTTCTTTCCCCACGCTTTTCTTTCCTATAAAAAAAAAAACTGAAAATTTTGAAAAAAAGTATATATTTTTGCTATTAAACATGTCCAGCAAAAAAATTTAAAAATCAAATTTTGTCATAAATTTAGTGCAAAATGTATTCTGCTCCGTGACTTTGCTAAAAAAAAAATCCCAATACGTGTAAATTAATTGGTTTACATGAGAGTTATAGTGTTTACAAATGGCGGTATAGATACAGATGGCACAGGGCCAATCAGCACTGTCCAGACAGAGGTCAGGGGTCCTGCATCGTCCTAGAACAGAATGAAAACTCCTCCTACAAGCTTTAACCAGTGCTCTGTAGATGCAGTAAAGCATGCTTGTTATACTCACTGTGGAACCTAAGGGGTTAATCCTCTGCATTGTACAAAAAGGCTGTTTGATCCTGTCTTCTATGATCCTCCCCTTCTACTGTCCCCAGTTCATCTGCTGAAAGAACAGAGCCTTGGGGGAAAGCTGCACATGCTCAGCTCATGTGTATTGCCAGAGTTTTTTTTTTTTTCTTGAGTGCATGTGATCAGCACAGGGCCAATCAGCACTGTCCAGAGGGTCAGGGGTCATGCTGCCTCATAGAACGATCAGGGGAGAATGAAAACTCCTACAAGCTTTAACCAGTGCTCAGATGAACACTGATAGAAGTCACAAGACTGATCTAACTGCTGATGAGAAAAGGTATTTAGCAGTTTATATTTACTAAAATAATTGCATTTCCATGTTGTGTGTACTGTGGGAGACCAGATATAGTGAATGCAGGGTCCGGGGGGACCCGATATAGTGAATGCAGGGTCCGGGGAGACCAGATATAGTGAATGCGGGGTCCGGGGAGAGCGTATATAGTGAATGCGGGGTCCGGGGAGAGCGAATATAGTGAATGCAGGGTCCGGGGAGAGCGAATATGAATAGGGTCCGGGGAGAGCAGGGGTGAATGCGGGGGAGAGAGCGGATATAGTGAATGCGGGGTCCGGGGAGAGCGTATATAGTGAATGCGGGGTCCGGGGAGAGCGTATATAGTGAATGCGGGGTCCGGGGAGAGCGAATATAGTGAATGCAGGGTCCGGGGAGAGCGGATATAGCGAATGCGGGGTCCGGGGAGAGCGGATATAGCGAATGCGGGGTCCGGGGAGAGCGATATAGTGAATGCGGGGTCCGGGAGAGAGCGGGGGTCAGGGGATATAGCGAATGCGGGGTCCGGGGGGGAGAGCAATATAGTGAATGCGGGTCCGGGGAGACCGGATATAGTGAATGCGGGGTTCGGGGAGACCGGATATAGTGAATGCGGGGTCGGGGAGAGCGGATATAGTGAATGCGGGGTCCGGGGAGAGCGGATATAGTGAATGCGGGGTCCGGGGAGAGCGGATATAGTGAATGCGGGGTCCGGGAGAGCGGATATAGTGAATGCGGGGTCCGGGGAGAGCGGATATAGTGAATGCGGGGTCCGGGGAGAGCGGATATAGTGAATGCGGGGTCCGGGAGAGCGGATATAGTGAATGCGGGGTCCGGGGAGAGCGGATATAGTGAATGCGGGGTCCGGGGAGAGCGGATATAGTGAATGCGGGGTCCGGGAGAGCGGATATAGTGAATGCGGGGTCCGGGGAGAGCGGATATAGTGAGTGCGGGGTCCGGGGAGAGCGGATATAGTGAATGCGGGGTCCGGGGAGAGCGGATATAGTGAATGCGGGGTCCGGGGAGAGCGGATATAGTGAATGCGGGGTTCGGGGAGAGCGGATATAGTGAATGCGGGGTCCGGGGAGAGCGGATTTATGAATGCGGGGTGAGAGCGGGTGAATGCGGGGTCGGGGGTCCGGGGAGAGCGGATATAGTGAATGCGGGGTCCGGGGAGAGCGGATATAGTGAGTGCGGGGTCCGGGGAGAGCGGATATAGTGAATGCGGGGTCCGGGGAGAGCGGATATAGTGAATGCGGGGTCCGGGGAGAGAATGCGGGGCGGATTTAGTGAATGCGGGTTCGGGAGAGCGGATTTAATGAATGCGGGGGAGAGCGGATATAGTGAATGCAGGGTCCGGGGAGAGCGGATATAGTGAATGCGGGGTCCGGGGAGAGCAGATATAGTGAATGCGGGGTCCGGGAGAGCGGATTTAATGAATGCGGATATAGTGAATGCGGGGTCCGGGGAGACCAGGTGAATGCGCGGTCCGGGGAGACCAGATATAGTGAATGCGGGGTCCGGGGAGAGCAGATATAGGAATGCGGGGTCCGGGGAGACCAGATATAGTGAATGCGGGGTCCGGGGAGACCAGATATAGTGAATGCGGGGTCCGGGGAGAGCGGATATAGTGAATGCGGGGTCCGGGGAGACCTTAGGAAAATGTGTTCGAAAATTCTCCGAACATTCGAACGTTGTTTCAAAAAATTGTGCTTGCTTTCAACATTTGAATTGGGAATGAATGGACTTTACTGAAGGAAAACCACATCCACTGTTAGAAATTAGTTCGTTTTGAGAAAACTTTTCTATCCTGCTCCTTCCAACTTTCTCCTCACAATCAAGATTTGAGCCCACTAATGATTAAAAAAAAACCCAAAAAAGCAAAAACAACTTTCTTTTCAGAACATTCTTTTCCTAAGATGGTTTGTTCAAAATCCTACCGATCTATGTGTACTCCCCTCTATTCCTGTTCTGGTGACAACCAAGGCTGCTGTTAGAAAACATGGCGCCCCATACAGCCAACCTGGCAGCCCCCCCACCCCCCAAAAAAAACCACAGTTTACCATGCTTCAGTTATGAATGAACACAGTTAGTGATCGGTACCAATCACTCATTGTGTTCATTCGGAACAGGAAGAGGCTGGTAAATGTGACATATTTACCAAAACTGTCCCCCACTCTCCATTCAGAAGGATCCTATTGTGTGCCCATGGGAAGGAGAGGAGGGACGTCGGAAGCACTGCGGGGGGGTACACAGGGGGGCCTGGTCAGCAGGGGGAAACATATGGTGCATAGGGAGGGTGATGGGTGCAACAGGGGCGTATTTACCACAAGGCAAACAAGGCACTTGCCAAGGTGGCATTTTCCATGGGGGCAGCACCTCCCCCCAGAAGAAGGGATGAAAGAAGGGACAGGTGCATCATGGGGACCAGTTGGGATCTGAGAGATGCTGCGGGCTGCTTGATGGTGTATGTAGAGCCTGACTTACGTTGCTGTGAAGACGAATATCTTTCTCTCTATCACTGGGGAGGGGGGTTTAGTGGAAGGCTCTCCTAGGTGGGGGGCAGGGATGTTGGTCAATGACAGGCTCTCTCCGTGGGAGGGGTGGTGGTGTTGGTTCGTGTCCGTGGGGGCAGACAAGCTTTGTGTTGCCTAGGGCATACATAAATACACCACTGGGGTGCACCCAGGGGGGCAGTTACTGGAACCGGTCCTATGTATGGCTTTCTCTGCAGCAGCTGAGAGCCAGCAGGGGAGGAGAGGAGAAGAAGCCGGCTGGGGAGGAGAGGGGGTGAAGCCGGCTGGGGAGGAGAGGAGAAGAAGCTGGATGGGGAGGAGAGGAGAAGAAGCCGGCTGGGGAGGAGAGGAGAAGAAGCCGGCTGGGGAGGAGAGGAGAAGAAGCCGGCTGGGGAGGAGAGGAGGTGAAAGCCGGCTGGGGAGGAGAGGAGGTGAAAGCCGGCTGGGGAGGAGAGGAGGTGAAAGCCGGCTGGAGAGGAGAAGAAGCCGGCTGGGGAGGAGAGGAGAAGAAGCCGGCTGGGGAGGAGAGGAGGTGAAAGCCGGCTGGGGAGGAGAGGAGAAGAAGCCGGCTGGAGAGGAGAAGACGCTGGATGGGGAGGAGAGGAGAAGAAGCCGGCTGGGGAGGAGAGGAGGTGAAAGCCGGCTGGGGAGGAGAGGAGAAGAAGCCAGCTTTTAGCTGTTGCAGAGAGAGCCATACAGGGGATCGGTTCCAGATATCCCCCCCCCCCCCCGCCATGCCAATCACCCACCATGCCAATCACCCTCTCTGCCCACATCCATTTCACCTAGCTGCCTGGGCCCCCCTGCTGGCCTGGGCCCCGTACAGGAGGACTTATCCACGACTCTGGTGGCAACTATAAATTTCTGCCTGCGCACACTTCAGATGTTGTACAGAAAGCCAACTGGCAATGAGGATTCCTAGCGGCAGAAGAGGGCAGATGGAGAAATCTATCAGAAATTGTAGAGGGGACAGACCTGAAGAAAATGGGTATATGGGTGAAAATTGTGTATTTATACTTTTTTCAGGTCTGGAGTTACACTTTAACTAGTTTTAGAGTTCTTCTTTAACTATTCGTTTATTCTTCGAACCTCCCCCCTACCTTGGACACAGGAGGGGGGTCACTGGATGGAGTGACACATTTTTGTCCTTGTTTTTCAGCCAACATCCCGGTATTTATCACGGTGACCCCGGTGAACGATTATACGCCTGTTTGTGTCGGGCCGTTGACATACAGCATCAATGAGAACAGCCCGTTTGGGACCGTGGTGGGACAGCTGAATGCCACAGACGCCGACTATCCCTTTAATAACGTGGAGTACAGTATTATTGGTGGACAGAGCCCACCAATGTTCTACATCAACCCGAGAAGCGGTAAGACCCGGTCCTGTCTCACCTCCTTTGTTTTCCTTGTTTATATAGCGCTGACATAGGATGTAGCGCTTCACAGAGCCAGCAAAAATGTAAAAAAACCCAACAACTTTTGCTGCATTACTCTCTGGTGTTGTCCCAACACATTGACTGCTCTGGGATCCAGCACAGCTGCAAGTCAGGGTTGGATGGTGCCCAGTCCACTTCCTGTGAGCCCAGGGTGTCCAAGCTCCACCCCCCCCGCCCCAGGCTCATATGAAGAATGCTGTGGCGAGTGGCATCATTTCATTACATAGTGCCACCTTCTACAGCAAGGCGGTCACTCCTTTTCATCGTAGGCTGTATCTGTAAGACTAGATGTTCAGAGCACCCCCTTACATCAGGGCCGGTGGAGATCGGAATTAATGAGAGTTAATTCAGTTCACCTCCAAATTAAATCTGTGTTCAGTCTGGTATCTCCGGCACAGTGTTGGAGAAAGAAGCCTCCTAAGAAAAGACTGAGATATAGATGATGGATTGAGATGACGCTAAGGTGACCTTTATAGTCTCCCCATGGTTTGTCCTGGTCATATTAAAGCGGTAGTAAACCACGTCTAAAAAAATAAAAAATAAAAAAAGTCTGGTATCTCCAGCACAATGTTGGAGAAAGAAGCCTCCTAAGAAAATATTGAGATATAGATGATGGATTGAGATGGCGCTAAGGTGACCCCATGGTTTGTCCTGGTCATAATAAAGCGGTAGTAAACTGCGTCTAAAAAAAAAAATTAAAGTTTGGTATCGCTGGCACAGTGTTGGAAAAAGAAGCCTCCTAAGAAAAGACTGAGATATAGATAATGGCGCTTAACTGACCTTTTATTGTCTCCCCATGGTTTTCCTGGTCATATTAAAGCAGTAGTAAACCGCATCTAAAAAAAAAAAATTCTGGTATCTCCGGCACAGTGTTAGAAAAAGAAGCCTCCTAATAAAAGACTGAGCTATAGATGATGTATTGAGACGACGCTAAGGTGACCTTTATAGTCTCCCCATGGTTTGTCCTGGTCATATTAAAGCGGTAGTAAACCACGTCTAAAAAAAAAAAAAAAAAAAAAAAATCTGGTATCTCCGGCACAATGTTGGAGAAAGAAGCCTCCTAAGAAAAGACTGAGATATAGATGATGGAATGAGATGGTGCTAAGGTGATCTGTATGGTCTCCCCATGGTTTGTCCTGGTCATATTAAAGCGGTAGTAAACCACGTCTAAAAATATAAAAAATAAAAAGATCTGGTATCTCCGGCACAATGTTGGAGAAAGAAGCCTCCTAAGAAAAGATTGAGATATAGATGATGGATTGAGATGTTGCTAAGGTGACCTGTATAGGCTGTATCTGTAAGACTAGATGTTCAGAGCACCCCCCTACATCAGGGCCATGGAAATCGGAATTAATGAGAGTTAATTCAGTTCACCTCCAAATTAAATCAGTCTGGTATCTCCGGCACAGTGTTGGAGAAAGAAGCCTCCTAAGAAAAGACTGAGATATAGATGATGGAATGAGATTCCGCTAAGGCTACCTATATTGTCTCCCCATGGTTTGTCCTGGTCATATTAAAGCAGTAATAAACCTCATCTAAAAAAAAAAAAAATCTCCCGCATGGTAAAGGCATAATGTGCTAGTATGCATCGCACATTATGCAAAACCTATCTTAGCACGAAGCCCTCCAGCGACGTGCTGTCACCGCTGTAGAGGCTTCCATCTTCACCCAGTCTTCCTTCCGGGGTGTTGAGCTCCGGCAATCTGGGATAACGTCACTCCCGTGTATGCGCACGGGAGTCTCAGGACATGGCACACTGCTCTGAAGTAATGGCACGGGTAGACCATCCCTTCCGAGCACATGTGCTGCTGTAAGAAAAACCCGAATATCTCAACAGCGCACGTTTAGGAGATATTATTTTTACCTTCAGGTAAGCTTTATTATAAACCTTCCTGTAGGTAAACAATAACAAAATGGCTTTACTACCACTTTAATACCAAGAGAGCGTCAGAAATCAGGAATATCTATTAGTGCTCTCAGGCTTTATTGTGAAGGCCACCATCATCAATGTTCAACCATTCTACACACAGGACAGATCAATCTGCTTGGCACCCTGGACTACGAGAAGCAGACCACCTACAACCTGCAGATCCGAGTGGTGGATCTGAATAATGACATCATACCAGACCCAGTGCACCAGAAGACCAACGTGTGCTCCATCGTCATCAACGTGCAGGTAAGAGGTCAACCTGGAGCTACTGGACAAGCACAGGGACGCTCTGGGGATCCTTTTTCTCATCTGACCCATACAGTGTTGACCAGGAAAACCACAGCCTCTGTTCATGGTAGAAGGTTTTGAATGTTTACTTAAAATTGAAAAGTTATGTAAAAGTAAAAGATTAGAAAGTAGCAAAAAATAACGCAGAGATCCTCAGAGACAAGGAAGGGATCTAACCAAAACTGGAAGCTCTAGGGCTCCAATTAGGGTTGCCACCTCATCCCTTTAAAACCGAACACATAATCAGCCACAGAACCCGTGTCATTAATAAGGTGCTAATTAAACTCACTTAGTGCCTTATGTGCAATAAATTAGCCTCAGAACCCATGTCAATAATATGTGTTCGGTTTTAAAGGGATGAGGTGGAAGCCCTAGCTTCAATCTTGGTTAGTTAGTGGCCACATAAAACCTCCCAAACAGAAACAATTTGCATAATAAAACATTCACTAATTTACACAAGCAACACATCATTAATTACAAGAGACATTAATTCCTGTTATTATGAAATCTCTTAATAGTGAGACTGAAACGCCCCAATACCTCATGGAGACCACACTGGCCATTAGTGATGAGCTGAACCCACCTGAGTTCAATCTGAAGGTTCAGCTGAACATTTCAAATGCTGAGATGCAAACCCAAACCCTACAGAAGTCAATGGGAGCTGAATTTGTCTTCAACTTACTCCATTTTGTAACGCTAATATCTGAAGGATTGGTAAACAAAGTACATGGGGGGTTGGGCACAGCTCTAGGAGACATGTACCAACATGTACCAATGCAAAAAAAAAGGGAAATAGTGGCTTTTTTTAATGTTTCATTTGCTATACAAGTTCAAAAAACTAACAACATGGGGTCCTTCCGAAAATCCATATCAGACCCTTTAGATCTGGGGCGCGGGCGTGGTGATATCCCTGACCCAATATGGACATGGCCATGTTTGGTCAGTGACAGGGGTGGACTGACAACTCAGGAGGCCCCCGGGCAATAGGAAATCATGGGGCCTCTGTGTCCTCTCCCACACTCAAACCACACCCAAAAAAAAGCCTATGAAAGGTACCAGGGGCATCTCACGGGGCCCCCTACTGACCCCGGGCCCTCAGGCAGTGCCTGAGTGCCTAAATGATTAGTCTGCCCCTGGTCAGTGATGTCACCACCACCCCGCCCCTTTGCTTACATGACTGGAGATTCCCGGCCAGGTAAGTGAATGGGATCAGTGACATCACTGGTTATTAAGGTGCCTACTCCTTCCGGCGTCCTGAGCAACCATGGAGGGCAAGAAGCTGTCGTCCATTACCGAATGGGTAAGTTCACACAGGCTTGTGTGTGCGTCTGCTGAGAGCTTTCCAATCCACCTTCATCTCTCTGTATTGTCTTCCCAGGACTACAATGATAACCCCCCCATCTGCAGACCTCCATTTTATGAAAAGACCATCTACTCCACCCTCTCGACGACATCCTCAGTTGTGCCACTACAATGCAGCGACGTAGACGTTACAAATGCTGTGCTGCAGTACACCATCATAGGCGGTGAGTTGTCTTCCCAGTTTGAATTTTGCCGTTTTTTTTGAATGCCGGATTGCACACACCTCCATATAAGTGCGCACAAACACTGATTATCTGCGGGGGGGGGGGGGGGGGGGGGGGATTGGGGGGGAGAGACACCTCAGACTGAGCCCAAAGATGGCCATCATTGGTGTTCAGCACCATGGCATCTGCAGCAGCAGTTGTGAAACGGGTCAAGGAAGGTGGTTTTGGGTGGAGACATCAATGTATGCAGTTTCTTTCTCTTTTTTAACACATTAAATACAGAAGGAAGAGCCAGGTTTCAGATTGCAGCTTATATTTTTTATACTCAGAGAGTGGAGACGGCTCGTGGTAGCCAGCACCTGGGTTGTCCGTGTGGGATGAAAGGAGCAAGTCTGGAGCAGAACTATGGGTTTGGGTATGTTCCGGTTGGGATGGGGAGCTGCATCTGGGCCTTTAAGTGGATTTTATTTGTCCATCGCTCCATGATATGTCAGCAACTCAAAAACCATACCCTCCAGGTGAGGTCATAACTTGGGAAGGTTAGGTTGGTGGAGCTATGAAAGCCTGAGGACCTTTCTAAAAATCAGCAGAGCTGGATTAGTTGGGTGGTGGAAGCAGGGTCACCGATTGTGGGGGGTTAGGTAGAGCCGTCCCTCTTGTACCAGGCCTGGGTTCCATCAGTTCGGGAGCAGGGGCTGGGGGGGGGGGGGGGGGGGTAATCCCTCATGCTATGGCTCGGAGGACTCAACAGAGCCTTTCATGAGCATGGGCGAAACACAAATATGTCACCGAAAAGGAAAATTTTCAACATCTTGGGTTTTTTTTTTTGGGCTACTAGCCGTAATTGTATCATATTTTTGTCAGTTTTTATTTCTTTTTTTTTATAAATGTATCCATTTTTTCTTAACAAATGTATCTTTTTATGGGTTCCAGGCAACATACTGCACAAGCTATTACATACCATGCAATTGTATCTAGCAGTGAGCCCTGTAATCAGGGGGAAGCTGATATGTAAATTGTATGTTCAGTGGGCGAGCGATGCACCAGCACGCAATGTTTGTCAGTCACAGGTTCTCTTTACCAACATCTCCTTTTTGTGTATGACCTCCTCTCTTCTTACAGGAAATACCAATAACCGCTTTTGGATGGCAAACAATGACGTCATGCACGACCCGTTCTCCTTTAACACCGACGGTGGTGTATATGACCCCGTAAATTATGAGCTCCTCGTCCTGGTGACGGACAGTACGGCCTCCCCGCAGTACAGCACCACCGCCACTGTGTTCGTCACCGTTATCCCTTGGACCACCACGCAGCCCACCACCACAATCACAACACCCGTGAGTAACTTTTTTTTGTTCCAAGAAATGATCAGAAGTACATTTTGGTCCATGCGCAGTCAGATATCAGACAGAACTGTATCCAGAGAATCAGCAGATTGACCTTTTGATCAGGTACCTGTTGAATATCCAGCAATCTATTTAAGCTTTCTTGACTAGGGCAGGTGTGCGCTGCAGAGTCCTGAACTGCAGTGCTGAGTAACAACCAGCAGAGGGCAATGGCTCAAAGCTGATCATTATAATAGAAAGCAGAATTCATAAAGAGTCATTGAATGCAAGGCCACCGTTTATAAGAACCGCCAACGTTCTGCAATCTGCTTTATTGCCACACTGGGGCAGCACAGAGACAGCTGATATGTAATGGTTGGAAGTTTTTCTTTCACTCAGGTAAACTTCTGTAATGTTTTCTGTTTCCAGATTCCACAGAATCAAACAAAAATTGTGAATCAGACGCTGGCGTACTGGCAGCCTGACACCTGGTTCATGGTGATGATAACCATCACTGGAGTACTGCTCCTCGGTGCCATTGGATTGCTGACCTGGGCCCTGTGTACAAGGTTCGTCAGTGGGAAGAATGTCCTTTACATTGGTGCTCAGTGGGAAGAATGTCCCTTACATTGGTGGTCAGTGGGAAGAATGTCCCTTACATTGGTGGTCAGTGGGAAGAATGTCCCTTACATTGGTGGTCAGTGGGAAGAATGTCCCTTACATTGGGGGTCAGTGGGAAGAATGCCCTTACATTGGTGGTCAGTGGGAAGAATGTCCCTTACATTGGGGGTCAGTGGGAAGAATGTCCCTTACATTGGAGGTCAGTGGGAAGAATGCCCTTTACATTGGTGGTCAGTGGGAAAGAATGCTCCTTACATTGGTGGTCAGTGGGAAGAATGTTCCTTACATTGGGGGTCAGTGGGAAGAATGTCCCTTACATTGGTGGTCAGTGGGAAGAATGCTCCTTACATTGGTGGTCAGTGGGAAGAATGTTCCTTACATTGGGGGTCAGCGGGAAGAATGTCCCTCACATTGGTGGTCAGTGGGAAGAATGTCCCTTACATTGGAGGTCAGTGGGAAGAATGCTCCTTACATTGGTGGTCAGTGGGAAGAATGCTCCTTACATTGGTGGTCAGTGGGAAGAATGCTCCTTACATTGGTGGTCAGTGGGAAGAATGTCCCTTACATTGGGGGTCAGTGGGAAGAATGTCCCTTACATTGGTGGTCAGTGGGAAGAATGTCCCTTACATTGGTGATCAGTGAGAAGAATGCCCCTTACATTGGGGATCAGTGGGGAGAATGCTCCTTACATTGGTGGTCAGTGGGAAGAATGCTCCTTACATTGGTGGTCAGTGGGAAGAATGTTCCTTACATTGGGGGTCAGCGGGAAGAATGTCCCTCACATTGGTGGTCAGTGGGAAGAATGTCCCTTACATTGGGGGTCAGTGGGAAGAATGTCCCTTACATTGGGGGTCAGTGGGAAGAATGTCCCTTACATTGGAGGTCAGTGGGAAGAATGCCCCTTACATTGGTGGTCAGTGGGAAGAATGCTCCTTACATTGGTGGTCAGTGGGAAGAATGCTCCTTACATTGGTGGTCAGTTAGATGAATGTCCCTTACATTGGTGGTCAGTGGGAAGAATGTCCCTTACATTGGTGATCAGTGAGAAGAATGCCCCTTACATTGGGGATCAGTGGGGAGAATGCTCCTTACATTGGGGGTCAGTGGGAAGAATGTCCCTTACATTGGTGATCAGTGGGGAGAATGCCCCTTACATTGATGATCAGTGGAAGAATGTCCCTTACTTTGGTGGTCAGTGGGAAGAATGTTCCTTACATTGGTGATCAGTGGGAAGAATGTCCCTTACATTGGTGGTCAGTTAGATGGATGTCCCTTACATTGGGGGTCAGTGGGAAGAATGTCCCTTACATTGGGGGTCAGTGGGAAGAATGTCCCTTACATTGGTGGTCAGTGGGAACAATGCCCCTTACATTGGGGGTTAGTGGGAAGAATGTCCCTTACATTGGGGGTCAGTGGGAAGAATGCCCCTACATTGGGGGTCAGTGGGAAGAATGCCCCTTACATTGGGGGTCAGTGGGAAGAATGCCTCTTACATTGGGGGTCAGTGGGAAGAATGCCCCTTACATTGGGGGTCAGTGGGAAGAATGCTCCTTACATTGGGGGTCAGTGGGAAGAATGCTCCTTACATTGGGGGTCAGTGGGAAGAATGCCCCTTACATTGGGGGTCAGTGGGAACAATGCCCCTTACATTGGGGGTCAGTGGGAAGAAGGCCCTTACATTGGGGGTCAGTGGGAAGAAGGCCCCTTACATTGGTGATCAGTGGGAAGAATGCCCCTTACATTGGGGGTCAGTGGGAAGAATGTCCCTTACATTGGGGGTCAGTGGGAAGAATTCCCCTTACATTGGGGATCAGTGGGAAGAATGTCCCTTACATTGGGGGTCAGTGGGAAGAATTCCCCTTACATTGGGGATCAGTGGGAAGAATGCTCCTTACATTGGTGGTCAGTGGGAAGAATGTCCCTTACATTGGTGGTCAGTGGGAAGAATGTCCCTTACATTGGTGGTCAGTGGGAAGAATGTCCCTTACATTGGGGGTCAGTGGGAAGAATGTCCCTTACATTGGGGGTCAGTGGGAAGAATGCTCCTTACATTGGTGGTCAGTGGGAAGAATGCTCCTTACATTGGGGGTCAGTGGGAAGAATTCCCCTTACATTGGGGATCAGTGGGAAGAATGTCCCTTACATTGGGGGTCAGTGGGAAGAATGCTCCTTACATTGGGGGTCAGTGGGAAGAATTCCCCTTACATTGGGGATCAGTGGGAAGAATGTCCCTTACATTGGGGTCAGTGGGAAGAATGCTCCTTACATTGGGGGTCAGTGGGAAGAATGCCCCTTACATTGGGGGTCAGTGGGAAGAATGCCTCTTACATTGGGGGTCAGTGGGAAGAATGCCCCTTACATTGGGGGTCAGTGGGAAGAATGCTCCTTACATTGGGGGTCAGTGGGAAGAATGCTCCTTACATTGGGGGTCAGTGGGAAGAATGCCCCTTACATTGGGGGTCAGTGGGAACAATGCCCCTTACATTGGGGGTCAGTGGGAAGAAGGCCCCTTACATTGGGGGTCAGTGGGAAGAAGGCCCCTTACATTGGTGATCAGTGGGAAGAATGCCCCTTACATTGGGGGTCAGTGGGAAGAATGTCCCTTACATTGGGGGTCAGTGGGAAGAATTCCCCTTACATTGGGGATCAGTGGGAAGAATGTCCCTTACATTGGGGGTCAGTGGGAAGAATTCCCCTTACATTGGGGATCAGTGGGAAGAATGCTCCTTACATTGGTGGTCAGTGGGAAGAATGTCCCTTACATTGGTGGTCAGTGGGAAGAATGTCCCTTACATTGGTGGTCAGTGGGAAGAATATCCCTTACATTGGGGGTCAGTGGGAAGAATGTCCCTTACATTGGGGGTCAGTGGGAAGAATGTCCCTTACATTGGGGGTCAGTGGGAAGAATGCTCCTTACATTGGTGGTCAGTGGGAAGAATGCTCCCTTACATTGGGGGTCAGTGGGAAGAATTCCCCTTACATTGGGGATCAGTGGGAAGAATGTCCCTTACATTGGGGGTCAGTGGGAAGAATGCTCCTTACATTGGGGGTCAGTGGGAAGAATTCCCCTTACATTGGGGATCAGTGGGAAGAATGTCCCTTACATTGGGGGTCAGTGGGAAGAATGCTCCTTACATTGGTGATCAGTGGGAAGAATGCTCCTTCCATTGGGGGTCAGTGAGAAGAATGTCCCTTACATTGATGGTCAGAACTCAGAATGGTCTCCTTACAGCAGCTAAAACAATCACTGGCGTCATGCTGCCGGCTCTACAAAGTGGTGTTGGCTCCAGAAATGTGCACCACCATCCAATGGGAGGTTAAGTAGCCACATCTCAAGGAACCCCTAACAGCCTTAGGTGGAACCCCCAGGGAACCCTGGATGAAAATGGCTGACATAAGCAGTTTAAAAGCATGCTGGAGGTTCTGGGTGTGCAGGGCAGAGACAGAGCAGGCCAGGCCTCTAATGGAATCCTGCAAACCTGGGATTGGGGGATTCGGTTTTGCACACCCACACCAGATGGCCTGTCCTAGGGACGAGCAGAACAATTTGGTTTCTTTGGGCTCTTCTCACAATTTGATAAATAAGACTGAACCAAGTTTCCATCTTGCATTGTCTCTTCTGATGGCCATGGTGGGCGCGCTCCATTCTGCACTCTATATCTCAACCCACTGGAGATTAATGGCGCCATTTCTTCTTCCAGATACCCGTTATGTGCCCAAGGTCCGAAAGATGCTACAGAGCCCCTCCTGCAGGACCCGTAAGTGACTCCACTTGTAGGTGTTAGCGATAACTGGCGCCCAAAGATACAAACTTTGGCCCACTGGAAGGAACCGAGATTCCACCAACTCATGGCCAGAAGATTGGTCGTATTTGGCGACGGGTTTCAGTGTCATCATATCTACCGATTTTTCGGTTTTATATACAAATATTGCGATGACGGCAGGTTTGCTTTCACGTCTTTTGGCAAAGGTGGCATTAAATGAGGATTTAGGGAGTAGGGAGTCCCCAGCACAGGTTTGGTCTTCAGTGGTCTACAACCAGTGTTCTTGGGGTCAGGTACATCGTTGGTCGCTCGTTTGCAACAAAGAAACGTGAAATGTTACAACAAATCAGATCCAGACAAATGCAATCCACTTCCAAAAGGAAAATTCCCAGATCCCCAGAGTAAGCAGCGGCTCTTATCTGCCAAAGCTGCGCCTCCTAATGTCTCTCTATAGAGCAACATGCTCTGGCTTTCCCATAAGCCTGCAAGAGGTCTGAGGGACACTTCTGAATTTTCTGGGGCCCCTTTAATTAGCATTAGGGGTCCAGTTTTACGTAAATCTGTCAAGAAAGAATTATTGGGCAGCCATTGCTGACCTACCTCTTCCAATGTCAGCTGCCAAAACAAGGGGGAAGACAGGAGGGGTGGCTACCCTGGGCATTGTAGTATCATGTGAAGGGGGGGGGGGGGGGGGGTGCTGGCAGCAGATTAGGGGGAGGTGACTTGTGTTGTTGGGAGGGGGAATTTGGGAGGGGGCAACAGTGGGTAAGAATTGTTCTAGGAGGGGAAATTTTTTTTGGGGGGGGGATGGGTGCTAGGAGTGGTGACTTGGAGGGATTTGTGTTGGGAGGGGGGAGAGGATTTGTGCTAGGAGGGGGGATTTGGGGGCTTTGTACTAGAAGAGTTGAAATGGTACAATGGGGGGAGGGAATTTGTGGTAGGAGGGGAATTTGTTTTTTTTGGGGGGAAGGGGATTTGTGCTAGCAGAGATGATTTTGGGGTTTAAGTGTTGGGGGGATTTTAGCTAGGAGGGAGGATTTGGGGGGTTTGTAAATAGAAGAGGTGAAATGGTAGGAGGGGAGAGGGGGGAGGGGGATTTGTGCTAGGAGGGGAATTTTGTTTGGGGGGGAGGAGATTTGTGCTAGGAGGGGAATTTTGTTTGGGGGGGGAGGGGATTTGTGCTAGGAGGGGGGATTGTGGGTTTTGTACTAGAAGAGATGAAATGGTAGAGATGGAGGGGACTTGTGTTAGGAGGGGAATTGTTTTTTTTTGGGGGGGGAGGGGATTTGTGCTAGGAGGGAAATTTTTTTTTGGAGAGGGGATTTGTGCTAGTAGAGATGATTTTGGGGTTTAAGTATTGGGGGGATTTGTGCTAGGAGGGGAGATTGTGGGGTTTAAGTGCCGGGGGGGTGATTTGTACTAGGAGGGGGGATTGAAGGGGAATTTTTGCTGGGAGGAGGGAATTTAGAGTGGGGGGAGAGGATGTGCTCTTGAAGGGGAAATTTGAGGGGTAGAAAATTTGTGTAAGGAGGGGTGATTTTTCTTTTGGGGGGTTGGACAGAAAGATAATTTGAGCTGGGAGGGGGGGGATAGAGGGAGCAAAGATTTGTGTTGGGGGGGGGGGGATTTCATCAAGGGGGTGGAATTGTTCTGGGAGGAGAGGGGATTTATGCTTCGGAGGGAAGCGTGCAGATTAGTGTTTTTTCGGGGGGGGGGGGGGGATTTTTGCTGACACATAATGCTCATACATCTTGGGGGTGGGGTGCAGCTTGGCATGCGGTCTATGGGCACTGCCTGGCTACTACGCTGATCCTCTGCCTTTGCTGCTACGAGTCACTAGCCGGTCATACAGATCCAGACGAAGTAACTCAAAGCATCGTTCGGCTCCGCACAGAACCGGCTCTTTAATTAGGCAACTTAGTCGGTCGCCCGAGGCCTCGCGCTCCCAGGGGCCCCAAGGACACCTAACGTGCCTAAGGCATGACCAGGGCGCACCTCTGTGTCCGGCTGCAGGTGACAACCCCGTGTTTTCCTCCTTACAGGTCACTGAGGAACGCCGAGCCACCCGCCAACCAGAACCAAAAGCCGCCTCCCCCTTCCAAGGAGAAGAAGGATGTCTCTCCAGTCAGCCCGCTAAGCCTGGTAGGTGAACCGGATCAATATTGCCCCGCCCACAAGAAAAGTCATACGAAAACTCTTTGCACATTCGATGAATGGACGAATGTCTTTAGAAAATTCTT